AGAATGTTGCTTTGTTGCTTAACCATCATAACTGTGGTTTCCGGGGCAGCTATCTTGCGTCATAGGAAAAGAATGCATTCCTTCCTAGACATGCTGGTGTGTTTACATTGCAGCTTCTGCAGTTGTCATCAGATTGTTTTCTGTGACTCTCGTTAGTAGGCTTAGCCAAGAAGATTCTGAAGTTATTTCTTGTATGTGTAATAAATTGTGCCTCCCAAATTAAACGTGCTTTACATTGATATGCCAGTTACACGGTGTGTTCCAGCGGTTCATTTCTTGGTAATGAAGGTTAAGGTCTTAGAATGGTTATGACAAAAGAAATATCCAACCTTGGAATCTTTGCATTTTTTTAGGAAAATGAGCTATTTTATTTTCCTCAAACCCATTCTTTAGAGCACTATTTCTCACCCGCGGGTGAGTTTTGCCTCACAGTGGATATTTGACAATGTCTGGAGATGTTTTTGGTTGTCACAACCAGGGGAACTGGGGTGCTACTGGCATCTTGCAGGGGAAGGCCAGGATCCTGCTCAGCATCCTGCTGTGCTATAATTACTGTAAAATAATTGCACTCATCTTAGAGTAATTTGTTAAAAGAGAAGTAGTATGAATGACGGAGTGAAACCATAAAGCTTTTCCATTTTATAGGTAGACTTGATACAGATGATGGGCAAGGACATCTAATGAACTTGAAAAGATTGTATGCCTGGGGCTCTGCTAAAGACTACATTTGCCACAGGGGTGAAAAGTAAGAGTTTGGATTGCAAAAGTAAGAGGAGGTCACTTTTTCTGGCTCACTTTTCCTGGCTTGTTAATCTGACAAGTGAAGATGTGGTTTTCACCACTAAAGTGAAAACGGACACTGGCACCTCTGGAGCAACTGTTAAATGTAAATTTTGATTTGTTTGCATGTAGATAGGGGTTATAAGTTTATAGTCAGTTCATTTCTTTTCTACTGAAGACCTCATTTTATTTACTCATCTTATTTATTTATTTATTTTTCTGAGACAGGGTCTCTTTCTGTTGCCCAGGCTGGAGTACAGTGGGTGATTTCAGCTCACCACAACCTCTGCTTCCTAGGTTCAAGCAGTTCTCCTGCCTCAGCCTTCCAAGTAGCTGGGATTACAGGCGTGAGCCACCATACTCGGCTAATTTTTGTATTTGTTTTGATTTGGCTCTGTGTGTGTGTGTGTGTGTGTGTGTGTGTGTGTGTGTGTGTGTGTGTGACAGAGTTTCGCTCTTGTTGCCCAGGCTGGAGTGCAATGGCGTGATCTCAGCTCACCACAACCTCCACCTTCCGGTTCAAGTGATTCTCCTGCCTCAGCCACCCAAGTAGCTGGGATTATAGGCATGCGCCACCATGCCTGGCTGATTTTGTATTTTCAGTAGAAACAGGGTTTCACCATGTTGGTCAGGCTGGTCTTGAACTCCTGACCTCAAGTGATCCGCCTGCCTCGGCCTCCCAAAGTATTGGGATTACAGGCGTGAGCCACTGCACCTGGCCAGTTTTGTTTTTGTTTGTTTGTTTTTTTGAGATGAACTCTCACTCTGTGGCCCAGGCTAGAGGGCAGTGGCATGAGCTTGGCTCACTGCAACCTCCACCTGCCAGGTTCAAGTGATTCTTATGTCTCAGCCTCCTGAATAGCTGGGATTACAGGCATGCACCACCGTGCCTGGCTAATTTTTATATTTTCAGTAGAGATGGGGTTTCATCATGTTGGCCAGGCTGGTCTTCAACTCCTGACCTCAAGTGATCTGCTTGCCTCGGCCTCCCAAAGTGGTGGGATCACAGGCATGAGCCACCACACCCAGCCACTCATCTCTTTTTAATGTCAGTTTGTTGATACGGTTTTATATTTCGCTGAACTAGAAATAGATAGAAAAAGGTAAAAATGGGTAAGGAGTGAATGACTGCTCATAGTTCTTTTTTGCTGTTTACTTCAGCAGAGGAAGGTTTGGTTAATTGACTCCCAGGAAAGAGTCAAGGTGTGCACATGTGTGCAAGTGCTTGTGCTTGTGATGAAAGCATGCTTAAGGTAAGAAGGGTTGTAAGTGCAGCCTTATTTTACTTGGAAAATGCTACCTTTAAAAGCAAAAGACAAGGCCGGGCGCGGTGGCTCATGCCTGTAATCCTAGCACTTTGGGAGGCCGAGGTGGGTGGATCACCTGAGGTCGGGAGGTCAAGACAAGCCTAGCCATCATGGTGAAACCCCATCTTTAAAAAAAAAAAAAAAAAAGCAAAAGACAACTTCCTACTTCCTTCATAAGAACATTGGAAATCATTTGATGAATGGAATATATTTTTACTGCAGTTGGTATAGTTTTCACAGTGATTTCTGGCCATAAATAATGTCGCACAATTCATTTTGTTCATGGATTGGATTTTGTTTGACAAGATGGAAAGAGAGAGCAGAGTCTAAACTTAGGGTAGTTTTAGCACTCTTTATTCTTGATCTTGTGTGAAAAGTGGAATTTTTGGTATTTTATTTTTTGGGTAAGCTATTCAAAAACTGTTGGCCTATGAAGTGCTAGTCATTTTTCTCTACTCTGTAATAACAAAGTCTGTCTCTGTTTTGTGGCAGCCACCAAATTATGTGTTCACTTTTATCCAGAACCTAAAGCCAGTATCAACAGGGAATGAGTATATTGGGAGAAAGCCTTTCTTTTTCGCCTCCCTCCTAGCAGCGCCTAGGTTTTTCATGTGAAACTAACAATAGTTCTTTGTGGAAGGTAAGGTTTCAAAAAAGTAAACACAAATACTATGACGTTTTCTGCATCAAACTAGAGCTGAATTTCCGTTGATATTTGATGAGGGATATTGGTTTATAATCTTTCTCTTTTTTTACAGAGGTAAATGGTCAAGAAGAGGGACCACATCTCTCTCTCTCTTTTTTTTTTCCTGAGACGGAGTCTCGCTCTGTTGCCCAGGCTGGAGTGCAGTGGTGTGGTCTCAGCTGACTGCAACCTCTGCCTCCTGGGCTCACGCAAGTCTTGTCTCAGCCTCCCGAGTAGCTAGGATTACAGGTGTGTACCACCATGCCCAGCTAATTTTTAGTAAAGACAGAGTTTTACCCTATTGGCCAGGCCAGTTTCCAACTCCTGACCTCAAGTGATCCACCCGCCTCAACCTCTCAAAGTACTGAGATTACAAGTGTGAGCCACTACGCCTGGCTGAAAAGGGACCACATCTCTTTAAGAAATGGGTAGGTTAACAGGGCTCAGTGGTTCACGCCTATAATCCCAGCACTTTGGGAGGCCAAGACAGGTGAATCACTTGAAGTGAAAAGTTTGAGACTAGCCTGGTCAACATGGTGAAACCCCGTCTCTACTAAAACTACAAAAAACTAGCCAGACATGGTGGCATGCACTTGTAATCCCAGCTACTTGGGAGGCTGAGGCAGGAGAATTGCTTGAACCCGGGAGGGGAGGTTGCAGTGAGCCGAGATCACACCACTGCACTCCAGCCTGGGAGACAGAGTAAGACTCTGTCTCGGGGTTAAAAAAAAAAAAAAAAGCATGTAGGTCAACATTAACTACCTATCCACATGGTTTAATTTAAAAACAGAATCTCGGGAAGCTGCTCCTAATGTTGGTAACCTCCCCGCCTTTTAAGATTTTTATATGCAAAGCCCTCTTGACTTGCCCAAATTCAAGAGATTGTGTTTCTAGGACGTGAAATCAGGAAATACATATCTGTTGAAAATTTATAAAGTAGTGCTAAGTTTCAGCTCAGCTAATTTGCTGGTATACAGAGAAAACCACGTTTTTTGAGATATACAGTGTTTATAGGTGGGAATCAGCCAAAATTGTGTGTTGGTTAGTCACTAAACTCTGTTACCCTGAATTTTATTCTCTTTCACTTCCCCCACTACTAGTCTAATAAACATTTCAGAATAATAAAAAACTTTAAAGAAAGAATACTTAGCCTATTCTTCTGAAATAGTCTTTGTTTTTCTTCTCTGATTACTAATCTCCTTTTGAGGATAAAATCTTGTTTCCTTCCTTTATCCTGCAGTTTCCTTTGTACACTCATAGCCTTTCTTCAGATGCAGATTTTGTAGTCAGATAAGTCTCTACTTTAAGCACCAATTAAATCAGGAAAAGATGATGTGTCTGTAGTTATTGTCTTCAAGTTCCTGATTTTGAGGAAACTGATTATGTCAATAGTGCAGTTATCAGATAGTAAGACACTGTCCAAATAAGGTGACTTCGGGAGAAAATAACATAAAGCCATCTCTCGATCTGGCAGACTTTGCTATTTTGCTTTCTGCAGAGCGGCATTCCTTCTGCATGTTTCTGTCAGTCTCCGTGAGAGTGGGCTTTTGTGGGCTTTCTGTCTGCATGGCATTGCAGGGCGACTTCTCCGTGTTGGCAGAATCTTCCATGCTTTGCTGGTTCATTGTCTTTCCAGCTGCACTAGCAAAGAACCAGCGTGTGCTGGCTGCAGAGCTCATGAAACACAGCTCGTCTCAACTGAGAAGTGCTGTGTGTATAAAACACACACCAAGTAGAGAAGACTTGATATGAAGAAAGCATGAGGCCGGGTGTGGTGGCTCATGCCTGTAATCCTAGCGCTTTGGGAGGCTGAGGTAGGAGGATTGCTTGAGTCCAGTTCAAGACCAGCCTGGGCAACATAGTAAGATCCCATCTCAAAAAAAAAAAGAAGTGTAAAACATCTCATTAATAAATTTTTATACCAATTACATGTTGAAATTATAATGTTTTGGGCATATTGCCTAAAATAAAATCTATTAATTTCATCTGTTTTTACTTTTTAATGTGGCTGCTGGAAAATTCAAAGTGACGTGTGTGGTATGCCTTCATTTCTTTTGGCCACTGCTGTTGTTTCTGAGAGATTGCAGGTTCATTGAGGGGGAATCTGTGTGGTTTGTTTTTTGTCTGTATAGTGGTTTTGCCACCATTTCCAGGGAATGAGGTTGTGATTACATTTCTCTAGTAATACGTGAATGACTGAGATCTTGTAATTTGTTTTGTTTTGCTAGTGATGATGGCCAAAGAGAAGCCGCCGATAACTGTGGTTGGAGATGTTGGAGGCCGCATCGCAATCATCGTGGTATGGTTATGTGTTGTCCTTCATGTGCAGAGGTGACGCTGCTGGCTCTTGGTCAGTAGGTTGTCTGCTTGGGGACTGTATTTCTGGGAGCAATGATGTAAATGGATCCATGTGTCCTTTCTCGCCGAAACTCCCTTGTGCCAAGTGGCAGAAACCTTTATTCAGATGAACACACATTAAAGTATTACCTACAGACGGGAAGTGAGCACGGCATCTCCCATGAGAAAATTCAGCACCTTAACCTACACCATGTGGGTTCTAGGTTCTTCACAGCAGCTCACGTCATGCTGCAGTGTTTGGGCTGAAAGATGAACTGAAGATGAGCTGCTTCGTTTTCACGACTAAGAATGGGTGTCCTTGTGCAGACTTGTTCTGCATGTTGACATACGTTTTGTCCCAGCTCTGAATGTCTGCTGGCTAGTGGGCCACGAATCCTTTGCAGTAGCACACTTTATTTCAGTTTTATTCTCGTGTCACATTTATTTGAAAAACAAAAATTGGAACGCTGGCTATGTGGGATTAACCGGAAACGTGAAACAGGAAAATGAGTGTTGGCAGTCCTCAGCTCCAGCGGTAACATCCCAAGTGCTCAACTGCTCCCTCTGAGACACACAAGGTACAGTCAGGTACTTCTATTGCCATTTCTGATGCTCAGTCTTTGACCCAGGCCCACAGCTCCGATTTGCCTTGAGAAATCCTCTGAAACTGAGTGCAGAGTAGAGAGGCGTATGCTTTTACAGTCTGGGCTAGAGGGTGTTTCTTTCCTACCAAGTCACTCTGTTCTCCTCCCAGGATGACATTATTGACGACGTGGAGAGTTTTGTTGCTGCTGCGGAGATCCTCAAAGAGAGAGGCGCCTATAAGATCTATGTCATGGCCACCCACGGCATCCTTTCTGCAGAGGCCCCCCGCCTCATTGAGGAGTCCTCCGTAGATGAGGTCAGGCTGCTTCTAAATCTTGGGCCAAGATTTGCTGCTGTGTTTTCTGGGAATAATGAAATGATTCAGTCAATATTAAATTGCTTAATTTCTCTATAGCTTTTCTAGCTTTTGCTGGCTAGCAGTTTGTTGGGACAGATATATGTTTAGGAACACAGATAGTCACAACTTACCATGGTTCAACTTAGAAAACTTTTTGACTCTATGATGAGGCAAAACCGTTGTAATTACAATACAATGTATAGTATTTGATAAATTACTTGAGACATTCAACACTTTATTTTAAAATAATAGCTTTCATTTAAAAAAATAGCTTTGCCGGGCGCGGTGGCTCACGCCTATAATCCCAGCACTTTGGGAGGCCGAGGCGGGTG